AGTCCTTCAGAAGCTTCACACCTGAGTTATATGCCACCCATCCATCCTTGTGATATAGACTGTTCAACCTAGGCCAGTACAGGGGGGAGCAGTCCTTAATGGGATGGCTGGTGGAAGGCATTAAAGATACATGGTCATCACCAAGGGAAACTCCCATAATTAACAGAGGCTGGAGGACTATAAAGGAGGGACAGGCATTACTGAGAGAACTAGGTATGAGAAAAGCAATATATACTGGGCACCAGATAAGACTGTTCACCAGAGATATGAAGGAAAGTGTAATTCAACTGGGACCTCAAGAATGGTATGGAGCTTTAACGGTTTTGCTAAGCCCTTTAATGGGACAGGATCTTTGTAAAGTGAGAGGCTTTAGCAGATCTAAATGATTCTGACCAGCATGTAAAACATGTCTATAGAATAACAGAGCACCCTACAAGAGATGTAAAAACGACCAGACAGAAACAATGGTCTGTTTGGGTTACTCAAAGACAAATGTGGCAAAACTTATGTCGAGCCCAAATTCCCAGAGAAAAAAATTGATAGAAACCCATATTCGGTACTAAGGAGTTTCTGGAAGGCTTTAAAACCAGAACAGTTTACAAAAGGCATTCAAAGGATAAAAACTGTCCCAGGGGTGGTTAAGAATCCCCAAAGATTGAATAAGGTGCATTTCTCTCCTGATAAAGGCTATGCTAGGGGTGGAGGCAGTTTTTCCCACCAAGTTCTCCCCCAACAGCCAGGTATGGTCAATGGAGAGATGACAGATATGGTTACAGTCAGGAGGCAGACCCAGGGCCTGCCTGACTCAGGGAACCAACAGGTACGGCGGGAACAGGAGAAGCCCCCTGCCTCCTTAGCCCAGGGCAGGGTCAGGCAACTGGAGCCAACACCTGTAAGTGTATCAAAAATAAAATACAGAGACTCCATGTAAAATCCCCCGTGTGAAATGAGTCCAAAGGGATAACTAAAAATGGTAAAGAGCTAACCAAATTAATGCCTCGTACCTAACAAGGATCTATGGAGAAAACAGTCAATACAAATGGACAAAACCTTTCCATGCTGCGTGAGAACTTGTCTATGATTGATTTAATATGTAATGTTAACCTTCCTTCGAATGTTTTACAGATGTGAAACCCGTTTAAAAGACCTTGAAGAGGCAAAGCCAGCAATAGCTGTTAAGATTCTTGGGAGTTTTATGGTTGAGTAAGATGAAGACAGAGACTCCCAAACTAGACAACTGTTAAGAAAATCTACAGTATCAGGGGTGGGTTGCCCCCCATGAGCTGTTGGTCATAGAGATCCTAGAGGTCCTAGAGGTCCTCAAATTCACCAAGGCTATTGCCATTAATGTCAGTTGTACACTGGAAATGTCAGTAAGGCCATGTTGCTGAGGACACTGCACGATGTGAGCACAGGAGAAGAAGAAGAGATGGACTGAGACTAAGCCCCAAACTCCGTGCCACTGGATGGATGGTGTTCATAGTACCAGAGGGCACTATGTAGATGGTTGGAGAAAAAAGGTTCCCCTGTATTCTACTCAACAATGGACCCCACATGCTGCACACTATGGACATGCCAAGCAGTGCCTGCAAGTGCAATAATGGCTCAACTAACATACGTACAACTGACAAATTTCTAATTGGATAAGGCCTGCTCCTAGGGGTGGAACACACATTTGGTGCTCTAGACCAGGCCAACCCCCTGTGTCAAGAAAGGCTACAGGCCCTAGCAGGAAAGCTGTTGCAAATATACTGTATAATGAATAGAGTACACCCACTGGGATATCTTCTAGTCATTTGTATTTACATTCACGTTTGTTTAAATGTGTCTACTTCCTTCCATTTGTCCTTATAAGATAGATCTAAGATAGATCAATGGCCACAGCTTAAAGACAAATAATGGGGAGGCCCATGAAATCACTATCTCACCACGATACAAGAGAGATCACCCTACATCTGTCACTCCTTCCAAGACTCAGGGACCTTAGCAGAAAATTGGCAGAATGATTGAATTGGCAGAAAGAATGTAAGAGCCGGGGGAAGGGGGTGGAGTGTGTCCCGAGGGATACTTGTTCCTCTGAGGGGTGGGGTCTGCTGCAGAGAATTGGCTGTGGAGAGTTAGCTACAGAGAGGGAGCTGCAGAGAGTTAGCCGTGGGGGAAGAGCGTTGGTGCCTTTTTAGCAGCAGCAGCATGGAAAAAAGGCCCTGCTGTCTCACCCACGTGGACACGAGAGGAGCCACATGGCATGGCCACCATATATAATGTCATGTAATATGAGGCAAAGGAGATACTGAGTTGGGTCTGAGAGCCACAGGATCTGTAAGACCTCACCCACTTCCATCTTCCCATGGAACCTAGTTTCCAGGTCCTTCTGCCCCTTTGGACTCAAGCTGTCAGGTGGTTTGTAGCTGGAGCTTGTCCAGGTAGTGCCAGAGATAGAACTTCATGTCTTCAGCCTAGGGGCTGAGGGGAAGCCCAGACTGGATGTTGGGGGCTCCTCCGTACCAATCTCCTGCTTGGGCATCGGGGAGCCGGTGGGGCCAGAGAGTGGCTGGGACAGACACCAACCCCTGCTGTGGTCCTGTAAGGCCCGAAGCCCTCCTCTGCTTTCTCTGGCATCAGTGGTCATCTGGTGGAAGAGTCTCCAGCGCAGTCTTGGGGGCCCCAGGAGCACTGTCTCCTGGTCCAGGCTGGTATCTGTCCCTTGACCTCCCCTTGAACTTGAGGGCCTATTGCTTGATCTTTCTACACAGACATCCAACTGGCCAGGGAAACAATGTGTCCCAAGGCTCTGAGTGTCCTGGCCAGCTGTCCCAGGCTCCCTAGAACCTCAGGTACCCATGTCTGTACCCTCAGCCTGGCCCCAGGACAGCTTTGGCCAAATGGGTGGCAGGATGTGAGCTCAGAGTGCATTGCTCCTTGGCTGAGGGCTTCTCATTCCTCTTGTGCCACTCGCAAACTTTCCAGGCTTGCTCTTTAAAATTCTAATGAAATACATTGAACACAACATGTTCCATCCCGGTCATTCTCAAGCTCATAGGACACAGTCACAAAACTCATCCGTTGCCTTGAGCTCAGCCACCACCCGCCTCCAGAACCTTCTCACCAAGCAGAACAAAGCTTTTCCAGAAACAGGGAGCCCCTTCTAGGCCCCACCCTATTCTACCTCTGTGGATCTGACCTCTCCAGGAACTTCATGTGAGAGCCGTCATCAGCCAGGGTTTGTCTTTTAGTACAGGATTGTTCTGTTGCGTGTAGCACCCTCAAGGTTCATTAAGGCAGAGTAGCATCCCATCGAGACACTCCATGTAGTGTAACACTCCGGTGTGCCTGTACCACACTTTGCTGTGTCCCCCTGCTTTCTCCACTTTGGGTAAGGCTTCTATGTCGGGCAGCTACTCTCTGTCCACCCTCCAGGAACCCCGGCTGCTCCGAGTGGCTGCTCACTTTGCATTCTCACCAGCACCTGTGCAGTTTTTAGGGTTTTTTTTTTTTTTTTGACAGTGGGTGTGAGGGGTCATCCCCTCACCATCTTGGGTCCCCTTGTTCACCACCATCTCTCCACTCGGAGACATGCTGTTGTTCCATCTGGATGGAGAGGCTGAGACTGAGGTTCAGGAGGTGGTGACTGTCTTGGATTCCAGTGTCAGTTCTTGGCATCAGGGTCCGTGTGAGGCCAGCAGGCGGTGGGGGTGGGGCAGGGGTCATGGGCAACGCTGGGTCTTCACACCTGGACAGCTCTTTTCTCATTGTGGAAGCACCCTCAGCCAGGTACAGGAGGCCTGCACAGAACCTGTCCCCACTCCCTGGTTCAGACACACCCTCTGTCCTGTCTCCATCCTGGCACTCCATCCCCCCCGACACACTGTGCAGTGCCCCTTGACCTGCAGGAGTCCTTCATGTAGTAGGAAGCACAAGCAAGGACCAGCCAGGGCCTGGCCTGTGTTGGTTTAAATGAGAGATGTCCCCCATAGGCTCAAGTATTTGAACAGTTGGTGATACTATTTGGGGAGACCACAGAACCTTTAGGAGGCAGAGACTTTCTGGAGAGCAGGCTTTGCGCTTATAGCCTCACCCTCCAATCCCAGCCCCACCCTGTCATTTGCTCTGTTTCCTGTGTTTGTGGTTGAGATGTTACCACTCAATTTCCTGCTCTGGGTACCTGATACTATGCCTCCCCTGCCACTGTGGACTCACCCTCTGAACTGTACGCTGAAACAAGCCCATCCTTCCTTAAATTGCCTTTGGTCATGGTGATTTATGACAGCTACAAAAGGGAATTAACACATGGCCTTTCCCAAGCCCACAATGTCCATCCACAGGGTCCTGGTGTGGCTCTGTCCCTTGAGTCCTCCTCAGTCACACACAAGCCCCTCTCCTGCCTGACCTCAAGTGGGTGGCCTCCTGACACAGCAGCCATACCCAATGCAGAGAAAGCAGTGACTGGAGCCACACACACGTGCCTGAGCTCACAGGAGCACTGTTCATGACAGCAAGTGAGCTTGGAAAAGAGACCTGGGGGTGGGGGCAGTGGCACCAAGGCCACGGGAAGCTCCCACTCAGCTGCTTACTGACCTCCTGATGGCTCATGGCTGTTCGTGGTTCACCACTTGTTACTCTCACAGAAAGCAGACAACTGTCCCCTCACTTGTGTACCTGGCTTTTTCCAGCACTTGTCAAAAGGAATTATGAAATGGGTATGTCCTGAGTATACACACACACACACACACACACACACGTACACACACACACACACACATCAAACCCAGGGCTTCGTGCCTGCTAGGTGAGCACTACCAACTGAGCTACATCCCCAGCTCAAAGCACCTGTGTTGATGGAGCACCTCTGGAGTCATTCTCTGTGAGTCAGTTTTTATTCTGGAAATCTGTTCGCTAATATTTTAATTATGAGACCAAGGGTACCGCAGAGCTGTTCTTGTAGCCCTCCTGAGTGTCTAGGTAAAAGGACGCGGGTGCCCTGACACTGCTTTCTCTCTTACCTGGTACACTGGGGAGTTCCAAACTCAGGTTTGTGTCAGACTGAGTTGTGTTGACCATGTTGTGCGTCGTGTGGGTCTGCCTTGGAAGGTGGTGCTGACAGCTTCCAGTGAATGACCTGGTGAGACGACAGGGAACCGGCTTTAGGTGAACATGCCAAGCAACAACAGCACAAATAAACCAAGCAGCCAGGTGCAGGGCATAGTCTGTCACCCCAGACCTTTGGATTAAGTCAGACGAATCGATTCATTCCGGTTAGAGAGCATCATGAGGCAGCTTAATAGAGGGAACCAGGCACCAGGAAGCATCAAAGTGTCACCCTGGATACCATAGGTATAATTTCTGCCAGTTGTACCTTGACAAGGCTGGATGGAGCTTGGGGTGGGGGACAGGGGAGGCCAGTAAGCTTCCACAGGAGAAATTAGCTCCAGCAAAGCCAGGAGACATCCGTATGGAGACGAGACTCTCCTTTTCTGTCTATCATGTTGGCAAAATAACAATCAAAGTGTTCCAGAGAGTAAGGACGCGGGTACCCTGACACTGTGTGATGCGATGGTCAGTGGGTGCAAAGAGCTCAGCACACAATTTTGCAGTCAGTTTCCAACACCCTTAAGTGAGCTTAACTCTTTAATTTTATTTTCTGTGTATGCATGTACTGCCTGCATGTAGGTAAGTGCACCTGTGTCATGAATTGCCCTCGGAGGACAGAAGAGGCTGTCGCATCCCCTGGAACTGGAGTTATGGACAGTTGTTAGCTGTCATGTGGGTGCTGGGGTTCGAACCCAGGTCTCCTGCAAGAACAGTCAGTGTTCTTAACCGCTGAGCCATCTCTCCAGCCCCTTAACTCGTAACTTGATAAAATTTCCACCACACAATTTTTTTTTCTGATAAAATAATGACCTAAAGAGTTAAGTGTGTGTGACCCAAAAGCTTTGTTAAAGCACATCACCACTGAGAAGGGGCTCAGGACCCTCCAGGAACCAGGGCAATACCTTCAGTTCACAGAACGTGGCCTGTAGAATGGGAACATCCAGTGGGACTGCCTTTCCTAATGGGGGTGCTTCTGAAACAGGCTCTGTACTGCCCAGGGGAAGACTCAGCCAGAGTCCCAGAAGCCCGAGGGACAGCTCAAGCCTATCAAAGCCTATGTGTTTCTCAGGCCTGCAGGTGGAGGATCGGGGGCTAGGTCTGCACGGGTACCTTGCTGGCTCCAACACACCTGCCTGTCTGATCTCCAACACAAACCATGGCTGCTCTCAGTCAGGTGGGGTGCTCACAGGGTGCTAAGGGTACAGTCGGCCTTTGGGAATGGACTTCTCCAGAAGCGACTCCCAAGCGATGCAGAGCCCACAGCATCCGCATCAAGTGGTCAGGATCAGGCTGCCAGTCCCCAGCTTCCCTGCCTGCCCTCTCAAGTGTTTCTGAAAATTGAAAGTAACAGGAAGCCTTTCACCTGAAATGGCAGGATGTTCACCCTCCACAGAACTTCAAACTAACACCTCAACATACATTAAAGAGTGAGAGGCGGGGCCAGAAGAAACCAAGAAGAGCCACTGTCAAGTGCTGTCCCTCGGCAGGCTCCCTGGGCCTCCCCACCCCTCCTTGACCTGCTGAGCACCAGGACAGGTGTCTATCCCTCTGGGTCTCAGGCCAACTCAGTGTGAGGTTTAGATGGAGGACCCAGGCCGGGGTCTGACAGAAGCTGCCCCAGGTAGGCACTGTGTGCTGGGCTTCACCCTGTCTAAGGCCTGGTGAGAGATCTGAGGTTCTTTGGCCACTCTCAAAATGGGGGCTCTAGGGTGAGGGAGAAATGACCCTCACTAAGGGGGTCCCCAGATATAGAGGTGCCTGCATGGGATGGAGCCCTCAAGGGAGGAGCTGAAGGGATCCAGTCCCACGGCGGCTCAGTCCAGACAGAGTACTGGGTAGTCTGGGTGCCACCCCACCTAGGGCACCACCCACCTGGGGTGCCACCTTGCCTGAGGTGCCACTTTGTCAAGGGGTACCCATTCAGGACACTATCCCACCTGGAGCCCCACTTCCTTCCCAGGTGCTGAGCCCCTGAACTGGCCTTGCAATGCAAGGACCTGCTGTCTATTCTCTGTTCTTCTCTACAGCTGGCACAGCAAGCTGTTCACTCCTTCTATATTCTGAGTAACACTAGCCATGACCCTCATTCTAGTGCTCATTCATCCTAAAGCACGTGGCAGCCCTGAGCATGAGGGAGAGGGTGGTGCTCAGCTTTCAAACAATTTTGCAGAAGCCAGAGGAAGCAAGAGCCCCGCTGAAAAAGTATAGCATGCATCCCTCCTGCGGTGACGGAGCCCTGGTGGGAGCTGCCCCAGCTGCCCTCTCATAGTCCTTGGCCTGCCCACTGTGGACAAACACTGGTCACAGAGGCAGGGTGAGGGACAGGGACTGGGGTTACCTGCTCTGCCTAGCCAGGCAGCGCAAGGCTCTGACAGTCACATCTGGGGTCAGGGCACCAACAACCACATCAAAAGGTGTCAACCATGAGGCCCTGACAGTAGCAGTCAGCATTAGGGCACCAGAGAGAGGAGCTCCTGACTCCGCACTGTGAGAGGGTTCCTCATTGTGGCTAGTCTTGGGTGCGGCAAGCTCAGCCGCTGCTGCTGGCCCTGCGTCCCAGCCCCATCTTTGGCTCAGAACCTTCTTGCCCATCTCGCCCTGGGTTTGTCTAGGTTCTCCCTACCTGCCAGGCCACCTGTCACTTTCTGGCTTCCGTTGTGAGCTTCTGCCACTCTCAAAGTGACCTTGCTCAAGGCACTAGGAGCCCCCTTTCCTGCCTAACCTCAGAGGGGTCCCCAACCTGGCCAGCTATGGGCATCCTGCAACAGCTAAGCTATCTCTTCATAGGAAGAGGCATGACCAGCTCCCAGAAGAGAGTATAGTTGAACCAGGCCATTGATGAACCCTTGTGTTGGATGCTTAAGTGGAAGGACCAGGGGGAGGCAAAAGATCCCGTATCTGTCCACTTCAAGAAGTAGACGTTGCCCTTCCTGCTTGCTGTGGAAGTCTGGCCTGGCTGTGGGTGGTGACTTTTTTCTCTTGAATTCCTGGGTCACATCTTTAGGCCTGTGTCTCATCTGTGGGGTAGGTGGGAGTGACTGCGAACAGAAGCAAAGCAGACTTCCTCACAGACATCGCCCTCTTGAGGATCTGGTAGAGGATATCTACCAGGCTCATGAAGTCCACGAGGCCCACAGAGACTGTGCCCACATAGCCTACAGTGCTTGTAATGCCAGAGTCCCCCTTCTTGGTGTGTGCTCTAAGGGGTTTGTGACGGGCTGAGGCTCACCACTACCTTGTTGGATTCAGGACAACACAGCTGGTGTGATGGCCCTGGAATGCCACTTGGATGGCTCCAGCCACATGCCCATGTGGTAAGTGGGTCCACATCACCTGGTCATCCCCTTCCACCCTGTCCTGAGCTCCAGCCAGACCCTGGCTTCCAGCCTCTTAAAACTGCACTTCTTCCTGCCTATCCAGCAACGCTCGTTCTCTCTGCTTCCACTTCCTGTCTCTAGTTCCCACTACAGTCATTCCCATCCCATGCAGGCCCCGAAGCTGTCTTGCTCCTTAAGTGCACCCACATTCTGGGAAGAGAGGCAGTCAGAGTCCCCAAGTCAAACCCAACCAACACCCCATTTGTGAATAGCCGCAGGCCTTCGAGCCCTGCGCTCTGCCTGTGCTAATGACTGGCTCTCTGGTCTTCTGAAGCATGTTTGTTGCCTTTTGACTATGGAGCTTTCCAAACTGACAGAGAAGTGCAGGGGACACACATACACACGCCCCATACCCTGCCGTGTGCAAGATCTACTTGCTTGTTTCACTTGAGACTTGTGTGATCACATCCCAGGGCCACTGGTCTGTCACCAGCATGCTTTCCCCATTTTTCCACTGCACGCGTTTCTGGTTATTTCTGGTTTTTCACTTTCTCATCCTCCTACAGAAATCTTTGAGGGGGTGGGAAGATGACTCAGTGATTAAAGCAAGTGTGAAGACCTGGGCTTGGATCCCTAGAACCCACATAAGTGTCTGGTGGGTGTGGTGGCCCATCTGTAATTCTAGCCTTAGAAGGCAATGACTACTCGGAGCAAGCTAGTGAGACTAGCCGTATCAGCAAGCTGGTGAGTGAGACTAGCCGTATCAGCAAGCTGGTGAGTGAGACTAGCCGTATCAGCAAGCTGTGGGTGTGACTGAGAGACTGTGTCAGTGAATGAAATTGAAGAGCAGTCAGAGATGATTCCCAACATCAATCTCAGGCCTCTACACGCAGTGCACATATGTGCACACACACCCCCACATGTGCCCACATGCACTGTAAACATGCATACACACACACGCATACCACATAAACAAAAATGATAAAAGAAAAAAAAAGAATGGATTTCGTTTCTGTCCTTGAATTGAAGGACAACCTTTGGTAATCACACAACATTTGTGTGGAACCAGGGACCGGCCTTCCATCCTAGGAATAGCAGCCTTTCTCCAGTCCCAGTTTGGTAAGATTAAAAAAAAAAAAGTCAGCCAGGCACAGTGGCACATGCCTTTAATATCAGTACCCAGCAGGCAGAGGCAGGTAGATCTCTGAGTTCAAGGCCAGCCTGGTCTACATAGTGAGTTTTAGGACAGCTGGGGCTACAGGGAGACCCTATCTCAAAAAGACCAAAAAAAAAAAAAAAAAAAACCAGTTAATTTCTAACATGCATTTTCAGTCTGCTTGCTGAGGCTGAGCGTTCATGTCAGTCTACCAGGCTCATGAAGTCCACAGCGACTGTGCCCACATAGCCTACAATGCTTGTGATGCCAGAGTCAGTCAGTCTCACCTTCCCCCACCAGCCCCTAAAGCATCATGCTGTTTGCCTTGGACAGTAAGGCTCGAACAACTGCTCACCTCACCCCCCAGTCCTTAGTGGCCAGCCTGGGCATTGCATGGGTGTGTCCAGTCAGTTTCACAACCCAGAAGCGTTTATCCGATTTCCTGTGCCATGTGCTCTGGATGCCTGGCCTCAGAGGTCTGCAAGTGGCAAGCCCCCAGGTCTGGCCCCGTGACCAGGAAGACCATCCCCTGCCCCAGCAGAGCCCCTACAGTCCTGCCTGTTGCTCTCAGGTCCTGCCCCTCAGCATAGACATCCCCTAGAGAAAGAAGCCCCTCACCCCACCAACCACACTACTCGGGATGTTGCCAAGGCCTTGGCAACCCTCGGTTCCCTGTGAGAGGGAAGTTCAACCCCTTGACTCGCATCTGTACCTACACCTGGGGTGAGGGTCTTCCAGAAGGAACCAGGCAGGTGGGGGAACTGGCAGCATGACGCATGCTGTTGTCCCTGTGCCCCCATGCTGATAGGTATGGTGCCCCTGAGCTCCCGCTTGTGAACAGGCTCTGGCTAAGTGTCCTGGGTCAAACCCCACCATTGTGCCACCAAAGCATTTTTACTCTCAGACACCACGGTGGTGGTGTTAGCCCCCAGACCTACTCCCCGGCTGGAATACCCAGTGACTTACCCAGGCCAGTCCTGTGGTAGTATTAAGCACCCCTCCAAGGCCCAGCCGGAAGGTTTCAGGAAGTAGCGGGGGTCTGAGCGTGCTCACTCTGAAACTCCCCTAACCACAGCACAGACTGAGCATGGGTGTTAGGTCACTGTGACGAAAAGGGCTGAGATGACAGGAAACGACTACAGACACACTTAACTTTGCTCAGATGGTACCCCAGCAAGGCCTCACCGTGACTCAGAGGCCGGGGTCGTGAATGGGGGAGACAGTGCAGCCAGACACCTCCACCTTAGTTGTCGCCACCTGTGCCCACTTCCATCTGGGCTGGCTCTAGGTTTGGGGGTGTGGCCCATCCCTTGTCAATCCCTAAGGTCCTGGCTCTTCCAGCACCAAGGGTAAGGGCTAACCCAGGAGTGAGTCCAGGGACATCTCCAGGACAACTCTGTGGCCAGCACTGGAGCAGGTGGACTGGTCTTGACCCAGACAGTATATCCCTGGGCATGTCCAAGGCCAGGACACTTCCGTGGGTGTGTCCAAACGTCTGCACTTTCCCCTGAGACCTGGGCTGGGCTTCAAGGCTGTGGGGCTGGAGGCCTCTCTCCCTCTCCCCTACCTCCCGCAGACATCTTTACAGGTTTGTGTGGGTGGCAGTACTGTCCCTAGAAAGCTAGCCCTCAGGGGATTGTGGCAGGCAGCACGAAGGCAGAGTTCACTCACCTTAGCTTTCCAGAAGCATCTGCCATGGACCGTGATCCTCCAGGGATCTAAGGCACAAGCAAAATTCATCCTGGGCTCCTGATCACCATTCCACTGGCAACTGTCTCTTCTAGCTCTCTAGGTGGCCATCAGTGCCTTCTCAAGTTTAGAGCTCTGCTTGTTGACACAGGTGAGCCACCTCCGACCACCTGGTATGGTGGTCTTAGCGTTGCAAACCACACAGGTCTCACAACCTGTGAGGGTGTGTAACTTTAACATAACTGATACATATTCAACATTAAAAGATCATTTCATCACTTTCAGTGAGTACCCAGTATCTATCAGTACCCATCGCATGGTCCCACCATCATCTCCAGAACTTTTTCACCATGTAAAGCTAAAAGTCTGTACCCACCAACACCACCCTACCGATCTGTGGCCACTGCTGCTCAACCTTCCGACTCTGCAAAGCTGAACCCACCTTGGAAACTCAGCATCAGGAGCATCCCATATTATTTGTTCTGGGTACCTGGTCACTCCCGTCAGCTCAATGTCTTCTGTGTTTGCCCAGAACTCCCTATTTATCTGTCATCTGTGGATGGACACATGGGCCATATCCCCCCTGGCCTCTGTGAACATGGAGTGCAGGATTCATGGATTTTTACTACCGTGGTATGTTTCTGTCAGTCATTATTCTTGATGATGTTCAAGTCGTCCGATATGTCGAGCTGCCTTGCGTAGACGATCTCATGGTCTGTCTCCTTAGGCTTGTGTTCATTGGTTTCCAAATGCCTATCTGCCTGTTGGGTGGGTTTTGTGGATTAATGGGACACCTGATCCCACGGCAGAGCTGGGAGGCCCCAGGGTGGAGCCCCAGCCCTTTTGCCTTCCTCCTGGCGTCATCCGTCCCTCACAGAAGGGGAGTCTGTCCTTGCTTCTCCCACCTTTGGGCCTTAGTGATGCCTGGTGAGCGTGGGGAGGAGAAGCAGGAGTTTCCATGGGGTTGGCCCTCTCATACACAGAGGGCAAGAGGTCTCTGGGTCCCAGCAAGGGAAGTGTTGAAGGACCTGCCCAAGACAGAAGAGGCCAGGAAAGGAAAGGGACTTTTGAGAAGTGTCAGCCAACCCCTTTTCAAGTCTCAGTGCCCTGGTTCCTTAACAAGAGTGCATTCCAAGTATGACTCACAAGCTACGGTGGTTTCAACAAAGTTCCGTTGTGTCCAGATTGGGCCTAGGCTGCTCTAACCCCAGAAGCCCCAGTCACTACACCTAACTCTGAAGGGTTCTCTCCCCAGCTCTGGCTTGGAAGTTTCCAAGGTCCTTAAAAACCAACCCCAGTACCTTAGCTCCTTGAGTTCTGGCCTTGAAAACTGTGTTCCAAGTGTCAGGAAGGAAGGGAGGAGAGGACAGTGTGGCTCCTCCCTCCTCTTTGAACTACCCACAGCACCTCTGACACTGCCTTCTCCACTGCAGAGTCTGAGAGTCATAGGAGCCCTGCTGCCTGTGTCCAAGCACAGACCTTCCTGTGATGGCAGGCTGAGAGGGTCAGGGAGCTTTGAGGTCTTAGGAACAGTGTCCTAACCAGCCACTCTCTTTCATGTGGGAATCTGGACATCCTATCTCCACCTCTGGAAATATCCCAGGAAGGCTCCAGGTTGGCCCAGTCAGGGTCCAGAACTTACTCCTGGACCTGCTGAACTTGAACTGCCTGTGAGCAGGCCTGCAGGCTGGGGGTGCAGGTGAGTCCTTAGCTGAGACAGAAGGGCTCTGCCCTAGCCCAGGTTTTAGCCTTGCCTGGCACCTGTCCTTTCTTCCCCTATGTTCCCAACACACTTGACCTCAGACAGCTCCTGGTCACCTCTCCTGAGGGAACCTCGTGTCCACCCCTCTCCCGAGCCCCTTTCATCTTTCTCTTTTTCTCTGCTTCATGCTGGAGTCAGCCACTGTCTGCCCTTAGAACTAGGAGTGAGAGGCAGTTACACCCCAGGGTCCACAGCTTTGGATCCCATCACCCCATCTGTTAGATGAAAGTGCTCAGGAGGACTAAAGGCTGAGAAGAGGGTCTGGGAAACCTAAGGTTCCTTCAGGGTGAGAGCCGGGGCCCCTCGCCTGCATCACGGCCTCTCTCCCCACGCATCTTCTCTATCCCCAGTGCTGTCTCTTGGTTACTCATGGTCATCTCTGACAAAGCAAGTGGCAGGGATGTCCCTGTAGGACAGTCCATGTGACACTCTGTGCATCCCAGCCTAGGACTAAGAGTGGCTTGGAGCTAGCTGGGCACCTTGGAGGACTCAGGAAGGGATGAAGCAGAGTGCCTCTCTGTGACCAACCCCAGAGTGGTAGGAGAGGCCTGTTCAGTGACCATCTGCTGCCTGCCAGGCCAAGCAGGGCACAAGTTCTCCTCCGTCCACCACAGCCGATCTCCCTGGTCTCTCTGAGCCCTTCGGGGAAGGCCCTCTGCCCCTGGATCCACTGTCAGCAGCCGCCAGGAACTGAACGCCAAAGGTCCCCTGAGGCAGGACGATCTCTAGCAAGGAGGGCCACCTCCAGACCTCGGGACATGGGGGCAGGGACAAGAGGGCAGAATGGCCTGCTCCTGAGGGCTCTCCCCTTGAGTCAGGCCCTGGCCTGTACTGAAATGCAGAAGTGCATCCTGTTTACTCCCATCCCCCTGCAGGCCAATCCTGAGATAAGCACAGGCAGGGTAAGAAAGAGGTGAGCAGCCCTCTATCGGCAGTGCAAACTGGCCAGACTCCAACACGGCAGATCTAGTGCCTGGACATTGACCATGTCAAAGGCTTGAGGCAGACTGGAAATAAAAATTTGGAGGCATGGACAGCTAGTTCTTCCTCGGCTGATCCTTCCTTTCCAAGGACACACCCCTCCCTCCAGCTACTCAGCCCTTATCTGAGAGCACAGGCCAGGATGAAGGACTTCACACAGCTCAGGGTGACTGCCATAGCCCCCACCACCAAGGATACTGGATTGGATGTGTAGCATCTCTGGAGATACACTGAGGGGAGGTGCTACTGGCACCCAGTGGAGACCAAGGGTCCTACCAGTACAGGAGGCCCCTCCCACACCCCACTTGCCCACAGTGCTGGATGTGAAGCAAAATTTCGAACAGGCCCTAGTGATGACTCCAGGTAGGGGGCTGAGGCCCAAGACATTCGAGGATTCTGCCCTGCCCCTGCCACATCCAGCCAGGGAAAACCCCAAAGCTGGGGGCCCTAAGCTGGCAGCTGAGGCCAGGACAACCCCAGGAGCACAGAGGGGAAGGCCCAGGGGGCCTGGGACACCATCCCTTCCCCTTCCCTTCGCCACTAAAAGCAGAAATGACCTGGGTGGGGGAACTGCTAGGCCTGGGGCTGCCCTGCCTTGGCGCTGTGGTGTGGCCCATGGCGCCTTGCTGTGGCTTGCCCCCACATGCCACACACCTGTGACACCACCCCCAGATGCTCTTGCATAGCTGGGAGATGGCTGCCTGAATGGAAAAGCACGCTGCGGATGTACTCACCGGAAACAGGTTGCTGGGGTTGCAGCCGCCTCAGTTCCCAGGGGCTGAGGATCCCCTAGGGTGGAGCCACCATGCCACTCTCTGCTGTGGGGGAGATCCCCTCACCTATCACTAGCAGGAGAGGAATAGGGCTGCAGACCCAGAGGCCAAACACCACAGCTCCTGAGGTTGGGGAGGTCTCTGCCCTGCAGGAACCCCCTAGTCACACAGGCAGACCTCACCCCAAGCCTGGAGTGACCTGGGAGCCTTGCACCCGTGTGCTTATGAGGCAATCCCTATTACAGCCACAAGACACATGGGCTCCAGGGCAGCAAGGGACACGCCTCCCACCTGGGAGAAAAGTAGATCTGTCTAGCCAGCTCCACTTCCTGCCCCCTCACCTACAGATGGCCATACTGTGAGGCTTCTTTCTGGGGTGGAAGGTAAGTAGTAAGCCCCAAAGTCACACCTTTCTCCCCGACTTCTGCCAGGACACCAGCTGCCTCCTCACCCACCCACAAGATCGGACTCTCATCCATCCATGGACATACACATGAGCATAAACAGACCCAGGCATACACACATTCTCACACTCACAGCACACCCACCCACAGAACCCTCACGTGGCTCCAGGCCAACTATGAGTGTAGGCAGTGCTCAGGGCACAACCCTGGGCCAACCCTACTGCTCCGTGACCCCAGGCAAGCTGCCTTATGTCCTGGGTTTGGCTTCCTTGGGCAAGCTGAGTGGCTGTTCAACCCGGCAGCTTGGGACCTCCTCCAAGCTACAGCCCTGAGCCCTGTCTCTCCAGGGCTGCCCTCCTGTCAAGCCTACCACTTTGCCAGAGGGCAGTGCTGACCTCTGACTCTAAGGCCAGCATACTGTGAGGTTGCACATTTTGCTTTCTGCTAAGCCTTCACTGGCAAAACAGGTCCTTCCAGCCCAAATTTGGCCCAGGAAGACTTTGAACTATTATTTCAATCTGTTCGATAGAGGGCTGCTGAGGCTTTTTGTTCTGGTGCCTGGTCTGTTTCATCTGCTTTCTACAGATGATGTATGTGGACATACAGTTACACTATACTATTATCTTTCTACAGATGATGTATGTGGACATACAGTTACACTATACTATTATCTTTCTTTGGAATTTTCTTTTTTTTTTTTAACTTTTTTCTTTTTTGGTCTTTTTGAGACAGTGTCTCCCTGTAGCCCCAGCTGTCCTGGAACTCACTATGTAGACCAGGCTGGCCTTGAACTCACAGAGATCCACCTGCCTCTGCCTCCTGAGTGTTAGGATTAAAGGCGTGTGCTACCACGCCCAGCTTGGAATTTTTTTTTTTTTTAATATGGTTTTTGGAGAGTGTCTCCCTGTAACCTCAGCTGGCCTGGAACCCTCTAGGCAGACCAGGCTGGCCTCGATCTCACAGAGATCTGCCGGCCTCTGCCTTCTTGAGTGTTAGGACTAGAAGTATGCACCACCACACTAATCTTGAAATTGCTTTTTTGCATTTAAAAACTAATTTCCTGGTGCTGGAGAGATGGCTCAGTGGTTAAGAGCCCTGGCTGCTCTTGCGGAGAATTCAGGTTTGGTCTCCAGCACCCACCTGGTGACTAACAACTATCGGTAACTCCAGTTCCAGGGCACCTGACGCCCTCTTCTGACCTCCGAGGGCACTGCATGACATGGGTACACTTATTGCAGACAATACACTCATACACATAAAATAAAAATAAATAAAATATTTTTTTAATTTGCAGAGAGAAAACCCAGCTTCTGATGCCCACATCTACGGATTTGACAATGGCAGTCATCTGTCCCTACCACAGTTGCAGGAGCTCCATCGCCCCAATAGTCCCTCCTGTTCTCAGTCCTTCCCTAGCCCCAGGCACTTTTTTCACTCTAGCTTTGACTCCTCCATCCTTCCTAAGGAGAAATTGTTCACTTAGAAGCCTGTTGAGGGGCTGGAGAGATGGCTCAGCGGCTAAGAACACTGGTTGTTTTTGCAGAAGACCTGGGTTTGAATCCCAGCACCCACCTGGCAGCTAACACCTGTCCTAACTCCAGTTCCAGGGGATCCGACAGCCTCTTCTGTCTTCTGTGGGCATTGCACGAAACGGGTGCGCTTACCTACATGCAGGTAATACATGCATACATATAAAATAAAATAATAAAATATTTTTCAAAAAGAAGCCTGTTGAATCTGGCCTCTTGAATAAGAGAATTGCATTTGAGGGCTGTCCTTGGGTGGGAACAGCTGGCACACTGGTTTTTTAAAATCA